GCACTTTTTCCAGCCCGCTCCTCTCTTTTTTCGATTCCTCCTTTTTTCCCCGCCACCTTTTTGCAGGCGAGGCTCGATCACCGTGGCCACTCGGCCACCCGTCGGACCGCAGACTCCTTTTTTCAATTTTAATCCTCCACCAGATATCAACCGCCAGAAAGGGCGGCGGCCACCATCGCCGCGACTCCGCGGCCACCGCTCGCAATTTTCAACGATTTCCAAACCGCCGCCCCCGAAATCGCCTCAATTACCCGCCGGAGTAGAATTCCATGCTCATTCCTTCCGTGCGATATATATATATATTTCCCTTTTTCGTTCCGTGGATTGCAACTATTCTATTTCACTTTGGGAGCAACGGCCAATTCCTGGCGGTAATGAAACCAGAATGAAAAAATATATATCCAACGCTCGAATATCTACTGTTTTCCCTTTCTCTGCTCTCGCCAATTTATTTGGTAAAAATTGACTTTTTCAAACGGAACACCCAGTGTCGTGTACATGCTAACAGAAGTCAATGAACGTGGAACGATATCGTTCGCGTGGCTTCGTTTCAGAGAGAATTGGCCAAGGAATGATATTTTCTATTATTGCCGCATGTCATTTCAACAATCCCGCCGACGAAATTAAGTGAAACAATTGACTCGTATTAGTAGATTAACAAAAATAACGAATGGAAACAAAAATGATCGGAATCTCATCGAGACGTTAACAAATATGAAATAAACGAAACATTCAAACTGATAATAATAAACAAGAAAAATACCAGAACCTTATTGAAACTTCCACCAGACAAGAAATTCAAACCGAATATTTTCAAACATAAATAGATCTCTAACGATGCGTCATTCTTTTATCACCGAGATAAGACACACCCTACATCGAGGGCAAAAAGGATCCTCCATCTTTAGGGGTGGGCAGAGTCGGGTTCCTCCGGCGGAACGCAATAAGGCTAACGGCAACAATAACATTTATGGATGTGCAGGCGCGCGGGGATGTATCGATTCATCTTTCACGTGAATCACGCCAGCCCGTGACAGCTATGCCGCCTCTGCCAGCCGTATCAGCGCTCCGCCAAGAAGCAGCCGTCGCGACGGGACGGAGCGGGACCGATTGTTCCAGATGGAAAAGCAAAGCCGTTACCCTGTTACGGGAAATAGGATCGCGTCCCTAACTGAATCACTCGCCGCGATCTCACCCCCGGTCGGTTTCATCCCCAGTTTCGCCGCCTTTTTGTCTCTCCCCGAGCTTCCACAACGAGAACCCCGCAATTATCATGCTCCTTTCTAGCGGGCGTCGGGCCCCTCGCTTCCGCTCGTCTCCCCCTTCGTTTTCTCCCATTGTCAAGGAACTCAGTGCTGTCGAAAATGGCGAGCGCGTGAAAGAAACACCCTCTTCGCGCGTTTCGAACCTTGTCTCTGTGCTAACCCTTACGTCGGCTAGCGGGTATCCATTTGAAATCTTCTTCTACGTAATTTTGTTCTGTTCTTGTGAAAATTTCATAAGATTCCTTTGAATCTCTGTTTTTTGGATATCTTTGTTTGCCGATTTTTATTTTGGAAATTAGAGAATTCATGTATAGATGTTGTAATGAAATTTGGATACAAATATATATTTTGGTTTTTAATGTAGGGGTTGATACTGGTTTTTACCTGTTGGTTCCTTTCTGATGGATATAGAATTTATTTCGTTACTTCGAATAGATCGACTGAGAGAAATTTCTATCTAAATTTTCAAATCTAGAGATTTGAAAACAGATCTTTTCCGTCGAGATTTGAGGTGTCTAGTAGGATTTGTCTAGGAAGCTAGAAAAGTAGAAGTCACTGGAGTCAATTAGCAAGAGATTCTCAATTTAATAACGGATAATAAATAAATAGATTGAAAATTGTAACTCAAACAACAATGGTCATGCAAGTAATTCGGCGGATTAAATGAAATGAAGAGTATCCTCGATGAAATCACTCTTTTCATGCAGTAGCGTGAGACCTTCAGCTGCAACTCATTCAAAAAAAGTTTCCAGACCACTTCTGCTCAATTTTTCAGTGACAACTCGAATTTTTCAGTGACAGAGATTGACGGACAAAAGCAAAAGTTAAGCAACGACACGCATCGATTTGCGGCAAATTACCCGGAAGAATCGCGTATTATCGCTTTAGCGAGTCCTCGGGCTCATTAATCGGCAAAATTATTTCCATGGGACCGGAACAACTAACGATGTTAATAACGCCGCGTTTGCCGCCTTCGGAATTCCAAGCGTTTTAACGAGTTCCATGGATTTCCCCGGATGAAAACGATGATTAAACCGGAATGAAAATTTTATCGGCGCCCCACAAAATAGAAAAGGTAAGGATAAATACAGGCGGGCGCGATGACCTCGGGGAGCAGCGGCAATTTATCTCGAATTCGGAATCGCCCGCACTTTATTAAACCATTGTTACTCTCCGCGTTAAAATTCGAAATTCAAATACGTCCATTTAAATTCACCGTAGAATATTTACCTTGTAGCAAAATGAAAAACTGTTGGAATCTTTTACTCCCGTAAAACGCAGCTGCACTGCGTGTCTATCTGCAAACGAACGATCTCGAAATACAAATACCCGCTAAACTTCATAAATCGAGCAATAACTTCTGCAAAGCAAACGGCATATTACTCCAAGCAAATCGTAGTATCGTGAAACATTAACGAACGTACTTCTATTGCTATCGATCCAATTGAAAAGCTAAAAGATTCTTCGAAAAAAGAGAAACTAACAAGAACATCGAACGGTTCAAGGAACTTCTGGCTTTTTTAATAGACCACTGAATCGAGAACTTGGAGGCTCCATATTTTCTCGAGGTTTTAACGCCTGCCTCCATGGAACTTAGGGTGGCGGAATGATTTTCGGAAGTCCGCCGGATGTTCAAAGTTCGAATTGAAACGCCCCGGTTACAGGCACCAATTTACGGCGTTAATGGAAAAATTTTGCAACCTTCCTGGAACGGTGCCGCCCTTCACCCCCGTTTTCTCTGGCCAGCCAGTCGTGCGTTAAGGAATCAGGTCCAGTGGGTCGGAAAGAAGATAAAATTCCCGGGATGTTCGTCCGCCTCGTTAGATCGGAACGACGCAATTAACAACGCGATCCGGTCGATACCGGTCGCCCGGTATTATCCGGGCCGGTCTGATCGGTTGAATTTTACCGCGGCTGCTGCGGCGGCTGCATTGTTCTCGTCGCCTCCCCGCGCCGATATTAAAGGGGAATGCAAACACCGGCCAATTGGCTAGCCCAGTTTCGCAACTTCCCCGTTCACGATGTCCTCGGAAACTTTGTCACACCCCTGCCTCCTTGTACCGACGAATTCAGTCAACGCCCAGCGCAATTCAGATTCATGAGACCGATAAAATGAACGCGATCGAGCGACTGATCGACTGTTGAAAAGAATTCGCGACGAACGCGACGCCTCTCCTCGCGTGTAAATGATTATCTCTAGCTGCCTGTGAACAGGGTGTATCAAGTAACTGGGATAGATTGTAATTTTGTTTCCGTTGACGATGGGGAATGATAGTTAAAAAAATCATTGCAGTATTTGACGGGTTCTGTCGTGTTGCTAGTTTTGTCGTAACTGATTGATGCAATTGCAAAGTGTAATTGCACTTTTGTCTTAAATTACGCGTTGAAAAATTTTTACTTTGAGTATTCAATGCTTTGGGAATACTTTGTTATCTTGAATTACTGCCTTGCTATGTTATTTGCTGACAGTATATATATATTCGTTGTTTTTAGATTTAGAAAGTTCCAAGGTAAAAGTATACTGGAGATGAAAGGTGGCGAATAATATTTTTTCACTCTTTCAAAGCTTTAACTTATCCTTCTAACTGGAGCACTGAATTATCTACTGAATAATATTGAAACTGACTGAGGCGAAATTCTGATTGCACAAAACTTGGGAGTACATCGAAGCAAATGAAGGAAAATCAATTCCATTTGTATTACCTTTCTGTAAATATTAACTCGGAGGTTTCAATGAGAAGATATGTTATCTACGAGTCTTGGAAAAGCAGGAAATTATCCGAATGTTTCGAGTACAGTGACATCGAAATAATTCTCGAAACACGAACAATGTATCAGTGACGTAAGTCAACCCGTTAGATGTAATTTCATCCGCAACAGGCTCGTTGTTTCCTTCATTACGGGGAGGAAAAAAATTTCTCTGGCGATGGTTGAAGGAAGATCGCGGAACCATCGGGTTGGGAACAGGGTTTGAAATGATACGAAGCATCCTGCGCCCATTACTGAACGCGGAAAAACGAGCTACCTGGTGAATCATTAAAAGCCTCGGCTGGAATTCTTCCCTGTTCCCTTTCCCACCGGCTGGAATTCTTTTGCCGTGAATTCATCCTGTTAACGGGGCCACGTAAACCGTGCGCCGGGCTTCCTTTATTAGCACTGTTTACCGAGTTAATAGAAAGCAACTGGATGGGTGTGGTTTGATCAGCCCCTACGACAGGGAATGCTCTTTTGACACTGTCAGAGGGGAGTTTCCTATGGTCTTCGATTAATCCTTTATTGCACGATGAAAGATATAGGTGGAAATTTTGCACATGGCGAGCAACAATAAGTGAACATCAGAGTGTTCCTTGAGAAATTGAAAGAAGATGAAATTTTGTTAGATGAATGTTTGGGATCATTCCCTAATTCGAATCGTGGAACTATAGCTATTGATAATTGAGAATTATAGGTTGTTCCAAAGCATGTAAATATGTATTAAAGTAGGATTATAGTATTTAATAACTAGTGAGGACTATAAGGTTGCTTCAAAATACGTGACTACGTTGTAATGTAGAATTATAATTATTAATAACTGAGGAAAATTGTATGTTGTCCAAAAATACGTGACTATGTGTTAAAGTGAGATAATAATTGTCAATAATTGATGAGGACTACAGGTTGTTTTGAAATACGAAATTAATTGAAACAGAGAGTAGATAAATATTCTTGTCATCTTATAGGATAGTGTTTACTCACGGTGTCCCCGTGGCGGAGATTCTCCAGTAATAGACGCTATACGGGGTGCGTCTTCGTTGATTTCGGTATCAGTCGACTCCTGGTAGATGTCCGCGATGGCGGCGGTGCAACGCAAGCACAGCCGACCGTTTCTGAACATGTCGCTCGTCACCTTAAATTCTATAGTCGACTTCGACACCATCGAGTCGTCATCGTCTTGGGGGATCTCCAAGTGCCTGGACCTGTACTGCATGCTGTCGTTCGTGATCTGCAAGAGAAATAATACCGTTTCTCACTCTCAAAGGTACATCGCAAAGCAAGAGATACCATCTAAACATCATCTAGAATATCAATATTTATAATTGCAAATGTCTCTATCAAATAATTATGCTAATTGGAGAAAACTTATTTTAACCGATATTTTAATGTCGTCGATGTCGCAAGTAGATTTAAAAGAATTTCTCACCGCTTTTTATGACTGATAAATAATAATAGGTCGAGATGTTTAATGAATTCTGCGTCATTTATTTCTTTCGGCTTTTATCTGACGAGGATCCGAATTTTTTTTTTATATTTAATCCACGGTTCGTTAGTGTCCCATTTCCCCGATTTCATTTAATTGGATAAACGGAAGAAGGTGAACGGGTAATAATTTAACGGTGAAAAAGGTGAGTCGCTTTTCCTTTTTTCCTCGCACGGGAGATTTAGCCGTGAATTACTTTCACCGCGCGTCGGAATATTCGCGCGTTAATAATGCAAGAAAGCAAGCGTGCACCTCAAATAAATATTTAGCGAGCTGAAAATGAAACAGATTAATTCTGAAGCGGGCCCGTTGTATATATTACGGGAACAAGTATGTAGAAAGCATGAATTATTATGCCACGGTTGTATAAACGCGGGATGCCTGTTGTTTGGGTGTGTAACGCCGTGTCCGTGTCGTAGCGAAGATTATCTCTTCTTGAAAATATTAATTACCGCCGCCTGTCTGAGGGAAAAGGCAATTTAAACGATGAACCATCGCGATCAATTCTGTTTCTCCTTAACGAATATATTTTAAACACTTCATCAATTTAATTCGCTTTTATAAATGAATCTTCCCTAATTACGCGCACATTACTACAATTCTCTATTTTACAGTTCACATCCTTACGATTCATAATTTCCCTTGACCCCTTCAACTGCAATTTATTCTCAGGCAGCACTGCTAAGAGAATTTAATTTTCTTACTAGCGAGTGCAGCTCGTCGTTATTACGTTGACCAAGAAACTCCATGACAAGCTGGACTCGTCATTTCAGTTCAAGGACTTAATCCTCGCATAGGAAAGAATAACACAAACGATTAATCATTCACAAAATCGCATTCATTCAACACAAAATCATTCTTAACCACAAGCACATCAACTAAGAAAACTATCAAAACCACAAAGAAATTTAACAAAACCCAACACCATAAAAGAAAGCTACTTTAAAAACTATTTCTACCAACAAAATCCACATTCCATCTCCTATAATCATTCTCAATCTTAAACAGATGAACTAAAAAATCTATCAAAACTACGAAGAAAATTCACAAAACCCAATGGCATAAAAGAAAGCTATTTCAAAAACCATTTCCACTGACAAAATCCAAATTCCATCCTTCGGAATCACCCAATCAAGAACAAAACCATGCAATCAAGAACCTTTCCCCGGCAAACGAGTCTCGCCAAATTAATATCTCGCTTAAACCAGCGATCCGTCGTTATCGCGTTACATTGCCGGCCCTTTTAACAGTCCCCAAGACAAATACTCGGATCGATCCCGCCCGGCCAGCCCGGCTCAAACACACCGCAGTCAATTCAATTTCGCGGTCCCATCGAAGGTGAGATTTTCCTGGGCAAACCTCCGCCGCGGCGGACCGTGGTATGAGCCTCGAGCAGATATTACGCAGTTTCGTTGCTCTTAACGTAAATGAACGGCCGTAGAGCGCAGGTCTGGCTCTGCTCCGCTTTTCCCTTTCTCTCTCTCTCTCTCTCTCTCTCTCTCTCTCTCTATGTCTCCCTCGCGTAACCTCCTCTCTTTATTCTTCATCATCATCTTCTTCTTCCACCTTTTCTTTTTCTTCTCGAGAGGAAAGACACGGCGAGGACCAGCTAGAAGAGAGGTCGACCGACCGGCTAGGTACAAGAGTCGCTCGGCGTTATTACTTCGGGGAACAAACGAGGCCGTGCATTAAGTCCCGCGGACCTGCGATGACGCGGGATTGCGCGGCGTGTTCATAAAGCATAATGCATAAAGCTTGCCGGTGTCGCTCGCTACGCGCTGTACACCCCAGTCGTGCCGTCCTCCGAGCGTTACCGTGACCGGAGGATTTGTCCGACGGGTTTTCCACGTGATCCGGCGACACCTGATCGTATCGTAGACACCGGCCAACCGTTGCCTGTCTTTGTGGGATCACGTTTAATCTACGCCGAGCCGGATTTCACGGTGCTCCTCGCTGTCTCGCAGCTTTTGTAGATGGACAGCGATTTCTGGGGATATTGGAATAGTTTGGGAATATTGGGACGATTACCTTGTGTTTTGGGAGATGCTGAAATTGAAGCTTTCTGATCGTGCTTCGGAGCGTTTGGGTATTGTTCGAAGAGTTAGTGTGAATTTAAGATGATTGTGCAGGTTTATTAGGATTTAGATTTAGGTTACGTTACGCGAATTTTGATTTGCAAGGATACTTAATTTGCAAGAATGTAAGCAGAGAAATAGGGTTATCAAGGAGAATAGGTTTGTTTGACTAATACTAAAAGAAATGTTAAGTTTCATGTGTTTTATATGGTTTTTCGCGTTTTCTGAAATCTGTGCAGCTTCAGCCTTTCATATTTCTGATTTTATGAAAATTTGAGATCTAGTGATGAATACAAAGTTGGTTTCTTCTAAGAAGGAAAGTAAAATTGAGATAGGTTCTGTGAGTGGAGTTGTCGGGGCAGTTATAACATACGGGATTTACCGTGTGAAAAATTAATTAGGGAAACTCGTATGATGTATTTATTCTACGATAAGAATATGATGTTTGAGTAAAGAACTTAAACTTTTTCACTGGATCTTATTAGATTTTGTTTGAATTTTTATGTCTGTTTCTGAATAAGTATCTAATTAGAATAAAGAATATTTAATGCTTCTTTTATTGAAGATCCTCAGAGACTCACGGAGGGTCTTCATTAGCTTGTTTTAATCAGTGATCAGTGAACGTGAGGAACATTCATTGTTCGTCTCGCGATGACACGTGTCAGCTTCGGCTCCAGCGGAAAGAACGCGAGCCATAGTCTGTCCGAAAGATAGAAGGAATTTTGCATGAAGCGGTATGTTACCGGGACACGGGGAGATAAACGACGGCGACAGGAATTTCGAGAAAACTTGCAGAATTTACGTTAGTGCGGAATTTCACGGAGGACACAAAACACTCATAAAGTCTGCGATATGACAAACTGGACGTACAGCTTCCTTGTAGCGAAATTTTATGTGGAATAATTTCCACGTAACCTGCGAGCCGGACGAATTGTCTCGGAAATACTTGCGGCTCAATTTGTCCGCGTTTATGCTCTTTAGATCGCTTTGTATCGCCGGAAATTGTTGCACACGAGCTTAAATATTGAGTCCAGTCACAAATACTTCACTATTTAAGAATACTTTCCCCTGTATCACAATTTCAGTATTAAATTTCTTCCATATTTAATTCTACTGAATGTTAAAAATTACATGTCAGGAATAAACAATTTAATAGAATTACATTTGGATGAAATTAAAAAATCAAACATTTAATTGTATTTAATTTATATAATTCATTGACACCATAATTCAACACTTCATTTCAGAAATAATACATCCTAAGACATTCTTCACTAAGTTTCTTTACGTAACGATGTCTAAGAAAAAAGAATCGTAAGTATTTAAGAATTCAAACATATTATCTCACATCGGTAAGAAAGATCATAACGAGCTAGAAAACGCGTCTGGTCGCGAAATGACATTCGCGATGACTTGCGCCGTTTCTCTATCGGTTTTCCGTCCAACTTCAGGAAGAAAGCACTAACGAACAGTATTTTCGTGGCCCGGATTCGCGACAATGGGACAAGTCCGTGACAAGGACACTCTTATATTACCTTAACCTGATGACCGAGTCGGCTTCGCGTCAGTTACATTAATAACCGACGCTGTTTTAATCGACGATACCCGATTAAGGTCAAGGTTTCATCGAAATGAATCCTGGTATTAAATATTCCGAACGAACGTATAATACGTAACATACTTTAGTCCTGAATCACGTGAAACTGCTGAGAAAAGGATCACGAGTTTTCCAGATGAAAAAAATGCAGAAATTGAAATTGAATCGCACGATTTGAAAATCTAATATCCCTGTTGTTGAAATCTCGCCGAATAAAACAGTGCCAATGATTTTAACATGGCTGAACCCGAAGACGAAACGACAGGACGCGAAAGAATCACGAAAGTTTCCAGCAATGAATGGATCTGACTTTGAATTTATGAGGCACCATAGAGCTGCACGCGAGATTTGTTGGAAATATTCGTTGATGTTGACGAATTGACGAGAAGAAACAGCGGCGCACGAACCGGGGGAATCGGCCGTGAGAAAATACGAGCGCGCGCTTGATTCCGAATACTCGGCGTTGCGACCGGATTCTTTTGGCAGAGGCTCAACCGAAGATCCTAAGCTATTTCATTTAACTCCGTCCGCGTTTTGAAGAATTGACGCGACGAGTAACCGGAATATTCAATGAGTACGTCGGATTTATGGGAATGCTTTCGCTGGTTTTCAGAGAAAGATCAAGTGATTCTCCTTGGGGACGAACCTTCCAGTGAAAAAAGACTTTACGGCATGTTCGTGGCTTCTGTTTTGTCAAAGTATAATACATTTACCTATGATAACTCACGTTGAAATACTGAATGAAATTATAAATTGCGTTTGCTATTAGGAAAATTCCATTAATCAAACTATTACTTCGAATGAACTTCACAAAATCCGTTCATTCATTCACACTAAACGTAACACGACCAGTCAAATAACCTGTTCTAAAGTTTCATTTAAAATTCTGCGTTTCTCTTTGTTCACTGACTTTTATATCAATTCCAATATTATCCGATTAATCAATCTCTCAATTTCTATCTTCCCTTATGTTTCTATTTCCAATAAGAAAAATAAATCATCTAACTTGTCTACCTTTATTTTATAACCAATTATTTCACTAGTTACCGTAGAAATATGCATATTCAAAGTAT